TATAAAGTTTATCCCCAAGAAGATTGTACATCTAATTAATGAAGTAAGTGGTATAATGATGTATTAAAATTATCAGATCATACTATTAATATGATTTATTAATACATAAATATTACTTTGATGAATTTTTTTTTTAAATTGAGAGGGGGTGGCATATGGAACTCTAACCGGATTTGATTATGATATGTTAGATGATATATTACTTTCCTGTAGCTGTGTAGGTGAGAAGAAGAAATACTGACCTTTCCATGGAAAATTCTTAAGATTTTTTATTTTTCGAGTTTAATCCTAAATTATAAATTTTGTCAAAGGTTAACTTTACTTGTTTGTTTTGCACTGCACTCTGTGATGGCTTGCCCCCACCTGGAAAAAAATTTGGTGGGCACTCATGCCAGCAGTTTCCAATAAAATTATATCTAATACAAGTCTCTATATAGCACAAACAGATTTTGATCAACAGGTCAATAAAAATTGAGGGGTTACCACTAATCACATTTTGACCTCCCTATATCCAACATTTTTTGGGTGTTTTATCATAGGATGATTCAAATATTATTTTTCATATCTTGTAATTGAGACAGTTAAAACTCATAAAAAAAATCTAAACATTTAAAGCTAAATGTTACTTTGTTTTCATACAATGATGTTTATAGATTATAAACAAAATTATACTGAACGCATTTCTGGCACACAAAAATAAGAGTTTAGTTTTAATGTTTAACTCTTTACGGAGACCTGACTAACCTAAAATTTAGGTTCCGAATGAGACTTTAATGTTATAATTTGTCTTAATTAAGTAAGTATATATCACAATTGAAAAATACTGATAAATATTAATAAATAAACGCAGACCTACACCTGAATAAAGCCTAGATTTAGAAATAATCAAAATATAAAACTATATACTAGTTTATTACTAATAGTAATACTAATTATTACTATTATTTATTACACTAGACTATACTCAATAGACCCAACGTTGTACTGGAATCCAAGTGTATAATTTCAAAGTCTTACGTTTCAACTAACTTAGTTATCACTAATTATAATATTACTCCACTGTTATAAGGTGTAATAAAAAATAAAAAAACAAGTTATTACTAATGGTCTTACTTGTCTCTGGATGTCACGCACTCGCAGGTTATGTTGTTTAGGTGCACTTCCCAATTTGAAAATTAACCAGTTCCTCGCATAAAACCACACATTATATATTGTAGATAGTGGAAGTAGAAAGAAACATACAAAAATCCATCTGTAATTTATCAAAATATTTTCTAATAAATTACCCATTTTAATTTTGATAATTATACCTCCTTCCACACAACTGCCAGTTTCACTGTACAGCCATGTGCAGAATCAAAAGTTCTTCGTTTATCTTGTGACAAAAATATAACCTGTATGTATATTTTTATATTTATTCGTAATTTGAATTAGTAAAAACGAGAGCAATGAAACGATTATAACTTTTGCCTTTCAGAGAAGCTTAATATGTTATGTAAAACTTGTTAGAATGGATAATAATTTCTATAATTATTTGCAAATGAAAAGCGATGATGATTATTAATTTTGAGAATGAATGATCCAGTTGCATGGAAACAGACAGTTGTTACGTCTCTTGTTCGTTTGTTAATTTTCCGTAGAAACTCTTTCCGAGAAACTTAAGCGATACAAGTCCTTTCTTAAATAAAACTAGTTTATTTTTTCTCAGTTCAACTTTGCAATGCACTTAATTTCCACAGTCACTTTCACTTCAACATACGCTAGAATTCACAACAATTCACGCACTTTACTTCCGGCTTGACTCAATTATCTGTCTCTATATCTCGCTGTCTGCAATTCTATTGTTGCCGTCACTTTATTTGCCGGCTTATATATACTATAAAATCGCGCGTCTGGCAAACACTCGAGAGTCAGGAACCTTCGAGATACTCATTACGTGTTACCAGGATCACGTGACTTCCGCTGTCGTAATACAGTTAAGATTTTACCGAGAGAGCTGTTTATTAGCATTATCATAAACAATGTATTCTTACGTCTTCTTCCCTAGTTAATTTTCCGTAAATTCGTTCCGACGAAACTTTAGCGACACAAGTCCTTTCTTAAATAAAACTGGTTTATTCTTAATTTCAACAGTCGCGCTATAACAAACGTCCCGAACAATAGCCAGTTACATTAAACCAATAACAATTAACAATAACTTAATTAAATGTACAGAATTACAAACACAAAATTACAAAGTCTCATAATTTTACGGGACGTATCTTCTTCCGTACTGGTCTCTGCCT